GAGTCTGAAAGTCACCTCTCCTTGAATATTTAAAACACAAAACTGGTTTTCCAAGCCCTGCTGAAATATGCTATCAACAGTTGAGCTGGGAATAAAGTTAAAGCCCCTAATTTTTAATTGCTATGGCACTAATAGAAATGATTTTCCTACCTTTTCCTCTCCAGTTTTCTTTGTGAATTATTTTCTAAGACGGTTCTCCAAGGAATAGTCTCTGTTACCTCGTTTACTCATTAGAAGTAAACATACTTCAGTAGCTCACAATCTCTTTGAGTACAGTGCCTTGCCCACGGTAGACAATCAAATATTTGTTCATTGTTATCTACAGCCTGCTGGCTTCTATTATTTCTTCCCAGGTTTTACACTCTGTAGAAGTGTTCAAGTTTTTAAACACTTAGCGCTTTTACATTTTCCCTCAAATGTGTAGAGAGCTTTATGTCACTGTCTTCTTTGTTTCAAGCATGGTTTTAAATTGGGAATATAATAGATACTGGCAGATGCATACATATTGCTGGAATGTCAAGGGGTCTGGGTAATTTTCTGGGATGGGGAGATTACAATGTGTGCTAAGGGCTGCTGAAGGAATAGATGAGTAGACAATACAAACAAATGTCAGGAGTTTCAAAAGCCCAAGAGTTATCAATCTATACAAACAGGTATCAGGCTGTTGAAGGAAGCAGAAAGCTACCAGGTCAAAAAGGAAACTAGTTTCACTGGCAGTCCAAAGTCCACAGAAAGTAAGCATTTAGGAGGACTGGGGGAATCCAGCAAACAGTCCTTCAGAAAGTAGGAAATACTGTTCATGGACAAGAGCAATGGAAGTGCTTCTTTTTGTCTTTTCTTACGTAACTAAGTTATTAATGTTGTAAACATATTCATAATATAATTAATAACTACAATTGAATTGAAAAATGTCAAGGCCACATATCTTATGTTCTATTCAAAAGTAAACACAAGCTGTTCATAGTTTTTCTTTGAACACCACCATTTTGGCGTGTTAAATATAAGAGAGATGATAAGACTGAAAAATTATTACTGTTACTATGTTATTGTCCACAAATAACTTTCTGATGGCCAATTATTTGTGGAAAACTTCACATCAACATTCAATATGGAATATAATGAAGTTCCAGAAAGTTAATTTCCACTCTCCTATCAGGAAAATGAAGTCATTTAAACAGATTCATGACAAGCTAGTGAAATCTGATAGAAGTCAGATTCTGATGGTCCTAAAAAGACTCCTTTCAACCCCCATTTTGCTTCTGAACAAGTCACATCATTATGTGCCTTCCAAACAACAGCTCTCCCATAACATTTTGTGGTAGTGCTGCTGCACTGAGGACAAACTGGTAGGTTAAATTGCTCTGGAGGTTGAAGTGTGCGACTTTATATGATTACCAGAACTATATAACTTGTATATGAGTGCTTTTATGTTTTCCTTTTATGGTTTTTACAGTCACAACTTTGATAATTTTAAATTGCTCTTAAAGCTTTTGTGGTTGCAGAAGATTTAACAGATTAAATACTCGATTTTCACATTAAGTTTTAAAGTAATTCGTGGGGGTGGTATTAGTAGTTTCAATGCTTGTTTAGTATTTTCATAGTTTTCTTTGTGGAACACCTAGAATAGAATTTTTTAGAAAGTTACTAGACTAATGATTCAAGGCTCCCTCACTCCAACATCCTGCATTAGGACCTGAGGGGGGCAAAAATTTTATTTTATTTTAATTTGCTTTGTACTACTGGGAATTGAGCCGAGGGCCCAGTACAAGTTAAACACTCTATCACTGAACTATATTTCTAGTCCAGATTTCTCCTTTTAAGTAACTCTTCCAGGTAATTCCTATATACAGAGCCTTGCATTTCAAAGGCACGTTGATGCTTATTTGCCTTAAGCATGGCATTCTAAGTATATATGGAGTATCTGGCACATTACACTTTTCACAAATGCCAATTCTGCAACTATTGTCACATTTTTGTGCAAATACAACTCTCTCGGGGACCCTTTGTCTTCGTTTGTACACAAAAACAGGAAAATGAATGGTACTAGAAGAAACCATCCTGAGTGAGGTAACCCAGTCACAAAAAGACAAAAATTGTATATACTCACTCATATATGGATTTTAGACATAGAGCAAAGGAGTACCAGCCTACAATCCATACTGTCAGAGAAGCTAGGAAACAAGGAGGACCCTAAGAGAGAGAAACATGGTCGGTCCCCCCCTCCCCCGCCCCGGAGATGGGGAAAGGGACAAGATCTCCTGAGCTAATTGGGAGCATGTGGGATGGGAGAGGGAGCTGGAAGGGAGAGAAGTAGAGAAGGGGAGAAGAGGAGGGGAGCGGAGGACATGAGAGCAGGAAGATTTAGTCAGGGGAAAAATAGAGGACAGCAAGAAAAGAGATACCATAATAGAGAGAGCCATTATAGGTTTAAAGAGAAATCTGGA